CGCCGAGGGTTGCGATCCCGTTGCCGGTCCCGGTCCGGTACGGGCGCGACACTGAGGGTTGCGATCCATTGCCGAACACAAAAAAAGACAAAAAGGAAAAAAAAAGAAGAAGAAAATGCATGCTTGGCATTGAGTAGGCAAAGAGGTGGACATATAAGCAGGAAATATCCATAACAAGGGATGAATGACAATCTCTTACAGTCAGCAACCTGTTAGAAGTGGAGATGCCCTAGCAGTGGGGGTCTTATGGGCTGCTGGGGACTGTGTGCCGCACAGGCCACACCTGCCAGCCGAGCACAGTCAGGGCGGGAGTTGGTGAGTGTGAAGCAGAAAAAAGAGCCCCTGGCTGCAGATGGTGCTGAGACACTCACAGTGCAGCACTCAGCCTCCACGAGCCCTTGGAGGAGTGGCCTTTCCACTGTGTTTCTGCTAAAAGCATCTAGACTGCAAATCTCTCCAAGGATGGATAACAAAGCAGCGAGTGACGGCACAAATGAATCTGACCTGCTCGCTCTCCCCAGGCACAAAGTCACCTTTCATTCACTGGAATTAGAAAGATAAATTAACAAAGGAAAAGGGTTACAGGACCATTATTTTCTCATCATAGTTTGTTATGGATATGGTGTTTTGAGGGAAAAATAAGCATTCTGATTCCCTACTTAATCATTCAAACATTTGGCTCTTTCATCTCTCTTTTTTAACCATCTCCACATTCAGGTGAACACTGTTAAGAAAACACTATTTATCAAATCCCTTTGGAAGAATAGTTTGTTTTTTGTATCTGCCCTTCCTGTCTGCATTTACACGTCAATACAATTACATCCCTCCATCTGGAAGTACTTCTATTGCGTGCCTCAAAAAACCTCTTACATTAAATTTTATCCTAAGAAAAACCCAGCCCTCACTGCCCACGATAATTTGCAAGGGCAACAAAAAGCCCCACCCACCCTAAAATTACATCCTCCCAACCTGCCTTAGTAGTCCCCTCACCACCTCCTTTACATGAACGCTTCCCATTTCAAGTGACTGGATTCACCCAATAGAAGGGTCAGGTGTTTGTTTTCAGAGACCCACTCACAGACATGAGTTGACTGAGGCATAAAGACCCCGTAAGCCTGTTCAAAGATTCAAGATTCTGAATGAACGATCACCAAAGGAAGTAGAGATAGAATGTGCCCATGCCTGGGTGACCGAGGAGAGAAAGCCCGGTTGCCCCCCACCCCAACCCCACCATCCCCACCCCCAGTGAGAGAGGTGGGAGAGAGGAGCTTGGAGGTTGGCTGACTCTGGCTGTATGCATCATTTGCCTAGGAAAGGCTGCCCCCAGAAAACCCAGCAAAGGCCAGAGATTCCAAAATCACTGATGGCTGGCCCAGATCCCTTTGGTTTCAAGATGCACACTATATTGGGCAATGCATATTTTGTAACACAATATCATGAAAACATTTGAGGAGTCTTGATCTTGTAGCTGGAGACAGAGGAAAAGCCTGGCTCAATAAAAGAAGAGAATGCACTGGGTTTACCTAGAAATGGACAGCACATGCTTTTCTCTGGCTAAAAATCAGGAGCTATTTTTTAAAATCTTTTTTCATTTGGAATTCTAAAGGAATTCATCTTACTATGTTATGTGGAGCAAGGGGAACTGGGGAGAGGGGAGAATATGGTGATACCTGTCACATTGTCCTTTCAATAAATATCTGCCTGACCTTCATAGGCAGGAAGGCAACTTAAAGACAGGAGCCACTCAGCTGGATGCAAGCAGAGACAAAGTCACACAGATTCCTGCTACATGGTTTGTTGTAGGGGCCAGATTTCCGGCCCTTCAATAAGTGTGTGCTTAAGCAAGCATAAGCTGTCCAA